GGAGGAAGGGTAGTCTTAGAATTTTGGTTCGAATTTTTCCCTTCACGAGAACAAGATATTTGAATGTAGTCTTAGCCAAAAATTATCAATTTTCTCAAACATTTTTCCAGAGAAAATCCCGAACGATGACTATCAAAAACTATACACCTAAGCGACTCAAACTCCTTGCTTCTTTGAGGGCTGTTTAGTTTAAAGTAGGAACTTCGGATTCTGGAAACGGGGATTGATGAGGAGTAATTTACCCCTATCCGAAATCCGAATATCCGGATGTTGTGGTCCTGCATTTATATCTTAAATTTCGAAATCACAATTTTTTTGGAGTAGACGGCAATTGAAAATTTATGCTATCATGCTCATATAACTAAATTCTATTGGGGACGAGGGAGGGGGGGGGGGGGGGCTTATGAAGACACCCCATTGAAAGGAGGGTCTCGAAAAGGCTCGCTCAGTCCCGAAAATATAATCTGAGATCCCCAATAAGGATTTCTTGAGTAGGCACCTAAAAGAAAAAAATATCAGTGGCGTCAATGACATCCCTTGGTGGCTGGGACTGCCGGAATTTTTTTTGTTGTAATTCAACACTGAGGATTAACTTTATAATTTGGGCCTTTCTTACCACTGGATCCCCTTTGATTTTTCGGCTAAACCCCTAAAATCCCACAAATTCTGGCCATGAGTCCATGTTGAGATTATCCCCAGAGGCCGTCTACTTGGATCTGGATCTTAGGCGGTCTCGCTCTTATCTCATCGCTCAGATATCAAAAATCTAAGCGAATTAATGGCGAAAACTTCAAGGAACTAAAGTAAAATCAAGGTCATTAAAACAAAATGAAAAACTTATGGATCACTAATTTTTGAGATGTTGCTTAAAACAAATTATACCTACGCTGGTGCTTTTGAGGGGGGTGGGGGTTGGGTGCCGCCATTTCTTGCGTAAAAAAGCAGAAAGAATAGTCCTAAGTAGAAAAATGGTAACTGTCGGCGTTTAACAGAATTTTAAGAGCTCCAATTTGAGACCAATGGAAGACTTTTTGGAACAGTGTGGTTTTTGAGATATCGCTAAGAACGGGCTGTAGCCCCGCTAAGAGGGAAGGGGGGGGGGATACGCATCTTCACCAGGATGAGAATTTTTTTTCACTGTCTCTCTACTTCAACTGATAACAGTAAATCGAAAACGTCTTGCAGTGCGACGATACCTCCCCTTTTTTGTGAAATGTACTTATCAGGCGGAAAACTCTAGAAAATGGAAAAAAATCGAGTTCGGCTACACATTTTTGGTGCATGAAACTACGAAAATTTGTTTTTGGCGCATGTCGGTGTCCCGAAAATTTCGGTCGTACGACCCGAAAAGCTTGGATTCCGGCGGTTGCGGTGAATCGCACATCATGGGACGATCTCGGAAAGGCCGACAAATTAACGGGGGTGAGAGGTGAGCGAGATGATATGCAAATGTCCGGCATGGAGCATGCCGGCGTCGCGACGCGACCGGTGTGCCTGTGCTTTTTCCGTTCCGAGCTTCCGTTTCGGTGGAGAACGAAACGAACTCGGTTCGAAAACCGAAGTTGAAGTGGTAACGGTAACGGTTCACTCGGTCGGTGTCGGTGAGGTGGTGGGGGAGGCGGAGAACTAATTTGGAACTACTGCGCATAGGAACAGAGCGAGAGCGGTCACGTGACTTCATATTTTTCAGCTAGAGACTCAAAACCGGGCGTTTCACCTTCTGAGCGAGTGGATTCAGACGCGGTTTCGCTTTGCGGCTGTGGTTCGCAGCACCGACAGTGCTTCATTCTTCAACGAGACTCTCTGTGTTACGGGAGACTGTATCTAACAAGTTTATTTTTCTAATGATTTGAAAGGTATGAAAATTTTATTATTTTCATTTATCTTTTTTGTTTAGTGTTTAGTATTAGTAGTTGTTCCAGTCTGCAGCGATTTGTGATTTCGTTTTCCCTTCTGTGTTAGAATTGTGTCTCGTCGCTCTTATCCGCGGTAGTAGGATGTCCGGACCCCTCAATTTTCTCTGGAAGTGACGGTTAAGTTCGCGTTTATGGTGTGTTTTAGGTTTTCTTCGTGTTTGTGTAGTTTTCGGCCTGATTTTATTTCTATTTACCCACTTTTCTCCTGGTAACCCATCGATTAGGCACTGCATTTCTTCTGATGATTCTGATTTCGCAATTGTCCAGTTTCCTTCCATCTCAAGAGTTTGAAGCCCAGCAATTATTTCTTGGATTCGCCAAGTTTTTTGTAGTTGGCCTGGTTTACTTCCGTACTTGCACTACGCTTTCATTCTTCTCCATTTTCTTAGTTGACGTGTCAGCTTATGGGTGTGGTTCGACATTACGTTTCGGGTCAATGGCTGGTAACCGGCCGCCATCTTGGCGTCTGGGTGTTGTAATGGAAAGTCCGTCGGGTTCCAGACTTCTATCTCTGCCCCCTCTTAAGTTTTAGGGAGTTAACTGTTGACTCACACTCAAAAAATTTTCAGCACTTGCAAGAGTTATCACTTCAGTTTTTTGGTATGTTCAAACTATGTTTCACTTTCCCGCAGGGTTGCGAATAATCTGCCACGTAAGGTCGCGACCCATGCTTGTTAGGCCTAGTGCCACTACCCTTCTCTCGCCGAAAAGTTAGCTTTACAGCCTTCGCCTGGCCCTTTGCTCATTCATGTGTGCCCTATTAGAACCTACTACGTTCACACTCGCCGAATTGAATACACCACACTTCCCTCTGGCAGTTCAGTTTCCATATTGTTTTAGTTCTGACCTTATCCAGACTTCCGTACTTTCTGCAACTCCCACTCTTGACTCATTAACGATGATATGCTTGTCCATAAGCTTACCCGTGTATTATGATGCCTACTCAGTTTCTTAGTTGAGATAGAGTTTCAGTTCCTTCTTATCATAACCAATTAATTTGTCCTCTCATTCCAAGTGTTTCTTTGACATGTTTCGTTTCAATGCTTTGTGCAAGTGTGCTTTCTACTGTCGAGATGATCTTATTGTGGTCCAATTAATCCCTCAATTTCTTCAGCGTAGCTGGCCTCGTATCAGTTTACTTCTGCCCCCAGTTGTTAGAGCTCGCGCATCGCATGTTGAGACAAATGCCGAAGTATTGTTTATGTCACCATTCACCAGTGGTGCCACCTGACTACATGTATTAACCTGTTGAGTGGTGCGAATTCAGAGCTAATCGGAGATAGACGTTTGTCTCAACATACGATGCGGGAGCTCTAACCAGATGTAGGGTGAGTTTCCCTCCGATGTTCTGCAGTTTCATCCTGTAGTTGTACGAAGACTTACTATTCTTCATTCATGCAGCAAGCCGTGCTGCCTAATGTCGCCTATGTTATATTTAAAGTGCTGCCTCTGCTGGGAAACCTAGGAAATTCTCTGAGCATCTTGGTCCGTTGAGAGTTAAATGATCATCAACATATTTTGATGCCGGTTACGAGGAGGGAGCAATGGGTGGGCTCTGTTCTGCCAGATTCCTTTCTTTCTGAATCAGTATCTTCCATTGAGTTTCAATCCCTTCTCTTGTCGCTGCAGACTGATGTTTGAATTCCTATTGAACTGTGAGAGCTCTTCAGTAGTGTTATGTCTCGTGTCCAAGGATCTTCATGAGTTTCATTATCTTGACTCATTTACAAGGGATGGTTCTCCGAAGCTCATGATCTCCTTGCTAATTGAAGGTCACAGGTGGCACTAATTTGTGATGTCTGAATTTACAATTAGAATTGATACTTTTCAATTTTTTGACCATGGTTTACTCTCCGCTTTCCATGAATTTTAATCCCTGTAAATACACAGAAACGTATCTTTAAACACCTTCATCACAGAATATGCAGGCCTCACCAACTGAACGCTCATGCCACCTTGCATTCCGTGCTTCTTGTCATCGGTTTCACTTTTGCACCCTAATCATAACCTGCAGCGACTCATCTGTTGAATGAACAATTAGTCTTTCCCCATGAAATTGTTGTTCCCCTTCAAATCCCTGTGAGAATCCTCGCTCTTTGGAATTTCCAGTAGTTCGCATTCTTGAATTTCCGATGAGTGGCGTTTTTCCCCGTTTCTCATTGAAGCTTGCTGTTTTGTTGATCTTTCCGCAGCATCCTTTCTCAGTGCTCATCCTCCAGCGAGAGTCCTATCTATGATAAATTTGCATGAGCACTTCTGTTTACCCGATTACTGTGCTTAATTTATTCAACCCATGCGAAGCAGTCTGTTATCCAATACAGGGTTCCGTAATTGCAGTGGTTACTTTTGCCTCTTGACACTGACGAGAAAGAATGATATCTTTTGTAAACGTCGAATTTTACTGACAGGAGTATTCATGAAATTATTATTCTTGCGCTTTGAACAATCCTGCGTCTATTAGTTCTAACGTGCACTTAAATTCTTTAACATTACTGGACATCGGACGCTTTCATCTACGCCCATTTAATTGTTGACCAATTTGAACTGGGGAAAGTCAAGAAGAGACAAATGTCACATCCAATTATTGTACCTTCATGCTAACCAATGGGCCAACTGACGACCGATGCATTCAGACTGATGTGAACATCGCTTCTTTTCTTTCCCCAGTTTTTACTATCCTCTCATCCATAATTATATTGCTTATTGTCAGATTTTAATTTCTTATTCGTGTTTCAGGTCTGTGATACATTATGGCAGGAGATAACCAGCAGTTCTGTTTAAGATGGAATAACCACCAAAGCACCCTGATCTCTGTATTTGATTCACTTCTCGAAAGCGGTACGCTGGTGGATTGCACTCTAGCCGCAGAGGGCCAGTACTTAAAAGCCCACAAAGTAGTTCTTTCAGCATGCAGTCCTTATTTGGAGGTGAGTGTCTGAAAATTTTTATTTTGTTACTGACCAATTTTTATAGGGTTTCTACAGATCTGGTGACAAAAACTGTTGTGGAATTAAGTCAGGTCAGGGGGGTTCCTTCGTTCTGAATGGGCCTGTTGCAAACTTCAGCTAGAGCAAAAATAAGAGTTGTTCCTCCTTGAAAGAATCTCCAAAATCTAAATAATCGCATTGACACAGTCTGAAACGCACTCCTTCAAAGTTTGTACAAGAATTTTGCGTTCATTAAAGCAAGCTTCCCACTTGAATAATGATAGCAGCACAGGTAATCATTTCCTAAGAGGAGTTATTTCATCCAACCCCTGCTCAATAGGATGGTTTGCAATATTCATCATGGCTGACAAGTTTAGGGGAGCGCTAAGTCAATGAAGGCGGTTATCTCGCATCTGTCTCAATGCAAGGAAAATGTGAATGTGAACACGTCAATTCATTCCATCCAACTCCTGCCCACAAGGATACTGCGCAATATTTGACCTCAACTTGCTCACGGAAACATTGGTCATATTGAGTAGGGATTGGATGATACGAATCCTCTATTGATATGTTCACCCGTGCTGTGGTATCTGTGTTGAATAGGGAATCTTGAGAAAAATTAATTTCTTGCGCAGATTGTAAAAGCATTTCAGAGTTTGCTGATGCGCTCACCGTGATTTTTGAGACGTACAATCTGTGAGGAACAACTCTCTACTTGTACTCAAGCATAAAATTGCTACAGGCCAATTACCAAACTTCCTGCAGTGTGTTTCAAGAAATTAATTCCTACCATTCTCATTCGTTTTTACCCCCAAATTTCATGATTATCCTACTTTCCTCACATTTGGTTCATCTTACATGAGTAGGTAATTTGTTGATTTTGCCCAACTCTGGAACAAGCAGGTAGTTGAAGTAGTGGAAGGGGGAAACATCAATTACTACCTTTGACTCAGCTGACAAGGGGAGCTTCCCAAGTGTAACCGGAATTTTGAGTTGAAATTTCGCATGAAGATAGTAGAGATGATTTTAGGGATGCTGTATTTGTTTTATCGAATCGGGTCTGGGAAAGCCCTCAAAAAAGGGCTAAAGATGCGGTAAAAACGCGTGCGCTAGCGGCACAAGGCAAACGTAAGTGATAGAGGCTCTGCATTCTTATTAGTTCCGCGTGGCCAAACGGTAGCGCGCTCGCCTCGCAGGCAGGAGGTCCTCGGATCCCGATTACAGCTCGTAATTTTATTTTACACTATGCTTGTTTATTTTTCAATTACTTTATTTTGCACCATTCGCTCCGCAAACCGACTTACGAGGTAGAACACGTAGTGACTGAAGATTTTTTACATATGCTGATGAAAACTCGAAGTTTCTCTTGGATTGAAACATTACATATAATTGAATGAACAAAACACTCTAAAACTCACCAAATTTCGTTGCCAAGCTGAATTTCCGGAGTATCAGTTGAATCTGTATCTGACTGATACTCCGGAAATTCAGCTTGGCAACGAAATTTGGTGAGTTTTAGAGTGTTTTGTTTATTCAATTATATATAATGTTTCAATCCAAGAGAAACTTCGAGTTTTCATCAGCATATGTAAAAAATCTTCAGTCACTACGTGTTCTACCTCGTAAGTCGGTTTGCGAAGCGAATGGTGCAAAATAAAGTAATTGAAAAATAAACAAGCATAAAGTAAAATAAAATTACGAGCTGTAATCGGGATCCGAGGACCTCCTGCCTGCGAGGCGAGCGCGCTACCGTTTGGCCATGCGGAACTGATAGGGATGCAGATCCTCTATCACCTATGTTTACCTTGTGCCGCTAGCGCATGCATTTTTATCGCATCTTTAGCCTTTATTTTGAGGGCTTTCCCGACCCCATTCGAAAAAACGAAAAAATACGGCATCCCTAAAATCATCTCTAGTATCTTCATGCGAAATTTCAACTCGAAATTCCGGTTACACTTGGGAAGCTCCCCTTGTGAGAAGGAAATAACTTTCTTTTCCACCATTCTGCTTGTTAGCGCAGTACTTAGTAAGTGGCCCAGCATTTACTGCTTATTATGGGCTGTCCCCAGACTCAATTGCTGAAAATTTCAGGAACACAGTCAAAGCAAATCGTAGAACATAAATTTTCACCAACATTCACAATTAGTTAGCCTCAAACGGAACTTGAAAGCTTGGCACTTCTTTCATTGTGAAGGACGAAAGCACTAGAACCATTTTTTTCCTGATGCAGCAATAATTGATCCAAATTAACTTCTCTATTGCCAAGAAAGACTCAGTAATTTTCTGTAGTTCTTAGCATTAATGCAAACTCTGCAACTGTTTTGCGAAAGTTAAGGATCTTCATCAGACTTTAAGTACAGTGATTGAAATGTTTCTAAATTTTCATTGCCACCAACGATGCCAACCGAAAGTCATTTCTGTGCTAACTTTCTACGAGGCACTGTTTCTGCACAATTCACTACAGAAGTTCTGAATTTTTCTTGACTCGGCGTTGAAGATCCAAAAAGACTTTCCTTTTGCCACTCACCCGCTGGAATCCTCCTTTTTCTATCTCTCTGTGCTGCCTGCATTTATTTAAGGAAAAATTGAAACTCCCATAGCAGAGTACGTGAAAGCGGTGCCTCATAGGTCGTTGGTGCAAGTATGGCTTACATCAGTATCCATGGATGAGTTGTTAGCAAAAAAAAGAAAATGAAATTGACAATCGAGCCGAACACACATTCCCATAAGGAGTCTGCTAAGGGGTCCTTAGTATATTGATGAGGCAAATCTTGGTCATTTGTTAACTTCATGTAGAATAAATTAATAATCTGAATTGTTATCTTGGTTCAAGTCTCAGAATAAGCACAAGTTTCTTGGGCACTAGTGATAAAGGTATCAGCTTAGCTAGCTAGCAGAGGTTATTTTGTTGGTTATAAGTGAAGGTTGCAACTTAGCCCCTCATTTGAACTTGCTGCCCGTGTTCTCCCTAAAATTTCACTTATGGCTCTTTTCTCACACCTGACTGTTTTCTGATGAAGTACGTTGTTTTTGTCTGTTTCAGTTACTACTAAGTCAGCATTACGAGAAGCACCCCATAGTTATATTAAAAGATGTCAAATTCCAAGAATTAAAGTCCATGATGGACTATATGTATAGGGGTGAAGTTAATATTACACAAGATCAATTAGCAACATTTTTAAAAGCGGCCGAATCGTTACAAATTAAAGGTCTCTCAGAAAGTAGTGGAAGCACTGACGATGCACGAGATGTGGGCTCAACAGCAAAACGTCCGAGAGAAGAGCCTCCGCCGCGAAGGCCCGTTCCCCCCCACCCCCAAGCCAGATTACCTCATTCATCAGGTCTTACCATCGAACCACGCAGGTCCATTCCTCATTCTTCAGAAATGGCGCCCGCAAGTCCTATGAAATCTAGAGAAGGTAGTACCTCACCAGTTGCTAGGAAACGCCGAAGACGTAGGCCTTCAGGCGGTGATGATGCGTCTAACGCAGCCTTATCTGATAGTCAACTCGATACTAGCAACTCATGTGATCTTCCACCCGTTTCTAACCAAGCACAATCTACTCCCATAAGTGTTCCTAGCATTCTCGCCACACCGTCTGCCTCGAATAATCAATCAGAATCCGACCAACCCTTAGAGACTGAAGCATTGAGTAGGTTCCCTAACACAACTGGCAGTGAACTTATGGTCAAAACTAAGATGGAACCTAATACTGATCAACTGATAGAGCCCAAGACTGAGTACCTGGAAGACATCAATAATGAAGACAGTGTAGAAGATCTGACCTTAGATGACGACGATGAGATGCCTGGTCCTTCACATGCTGATGGCTCCAATCAAAGTAAGTTTACATCAATTTTATTTTCTCATAGCCTTTCTCTAATCAGCAACTACAGGGTTGCCAGTATCACATGCTGTCGGAGAAAAGAACACGACCACTGTCCTTCATAAATTTGATGAGACACTACATTGAAAACAAACTGTGAGATAAATTCGGCTCTGAAGTAATCTGGGTGTTCCTAAGCTTTGATAACAGATACAATTTCAAAGAAAACGAGAAAATTGCCTCATGCATCGTGATAGTGCGTCAAGCGAAGAAGTAATGATAGGGCCTTCTAACGTCTTTTAATCAAGGTGTACAACCTTTACCTTATGGATCTTGTCTTAACAAGGGTGTACTGTCCAGCACCTTTTTGAAGAAATTAAACTTCTTCCAAGACTTCCATTTTTAGTAGCTCCGTTGAATTTACATGGAATTTTGAAATTTGCTCGTTGAAATTTTATAACCATTACAAATTTCATTAATAACAGTTACTTTTTATTTGTTCTTTGGGAAAATACAGTATTATTCTATAGCTAACTAAGAACATCCACTTATCAATACTTGGAGTTAAAGAACGTCCAGGAAGTAAATTTTGCAATTTATCGGGATAATTCTCTTTTTCCATCCCCAAAAAAATGTGAATAAATGAAGAAATTAATTAATTAAATAGAGAAGGTTTTCTTTCAGTTGACTTGCACGTAGCCAACAGTTTCACTTAGTTATGCAGCTCCTTAGTTGCATCACTTAACATCTTGTCATNCCGAGCCCTCGCCGGGTCAGTTCGTGGAACTTAACGACTGGGAATAATTATGCATGGCAACGCTGGAGACGAAAATCGTACCCAACACGGGGTATTTCCCGATGCAATGTCGCCTTTTTCAAGCCCTGCGTCTGGATTTGGGTCTACAGTGTTGTCATACGGTTTTATTCCCGGTCGTCGAGTTCCATGAACTAGCTCGGTGAGGGCTCGGATAGGGCTCGGAGAGGATGGATAGGCCGATACCTTGCCGCAAGGTGATGGTTAGCTCACCGCAAGGTAATATTTACGCTAGGGTAGCTAAGAACATCCACTTATCAATACTTGGAGTTAAAGAACGTCCAGGAAGTAAATTTTGCAATTTATTGGGATAATTCTCTTTTTCCATCCCCAAAAAAATGTGAATAAATGAAGAAATTAATTAATTAAATACAGAAGGTTTTCTTTCAGTTGACTTGCATGTAGCCAACAGTTTCACTTTGTTATGCAGCTCCTTAGTTGCATCACTAAACATCTTCTCATTCCAGTTCAATAGCACCATAGGACGATATCAATTGGATTACATTGTGCAATAAGGGAACGCTATTTCTGGCCCATTTTAGAAACCACATACATGCCATTGGGTTCTGGATCAGATATGTGCTTTTATGAGAGAGCCAAAGATGGTGGTTCCTTATTGCGAAATGTAATCGATTTGTTCATCACTACCTCCTATTCTATTACTAAGAGCCTATTACCAAGGTATCCATCCCTTCTATGCCTAGCTCGTTTATTTAGGTAAAGGGATTAGGCGTAGTTAATGTGGGACTGGCGCTCATTGCTGTAATTCAGGGATTGCTTAGCGTTCCATGATGAAACAATTTTGAACTTTTCAAGAGGATCAATTTTTTAAAGAAATTAAACTTTAGGAATTTGTTGATAAAAATTTCAAAGCAAATTCTCCATTTTCCCAAGGAATTTTTAAGTGCTCTCAACTTTTCGTTTTGACAAGAGGATGTCGCAACCTTTAAAGCAAGACCTAGTTCTAATTTATCTCTTGAATAATGCTATTATTTTTTACTACATTAATACTGTTTTTCTTTGTTCGCAGACTTTTCTCAGTGGCAAATGGCGGGTGATAGATCAACAGACGAAGTATTTATGGCAGCGCAAGAAGCTGTTGGTGCTCATAGGGACTCACAAGGTAAGCATATGTTAACCGACGCGTTCATCTTGGTCATTCAATAAGAAGATTGATCCCAGAGCTTGAGGTGATAAGAGACTTTTTCGGATCTTTCTTCTGAATGACTTCCTCTAGTGTTTCCATCGCAGTTCATGCATTTCAAGATATTGCATATTTAGTCATGTCAAATTGAGTTAATTTTCTCGCCACTTTTGGAAAGTCTGGAATAGACAACCTCTGGCTCTTCTCCTCTAATTCTATCATTACAAGAAAAATATTTTGAATGCATAAGTTGCGATGTGATTTTATTTTTGCTCTTAACATTCGTCAATTCAACCATAGGTAAGGTGTACATAATTTTCAAGCACTATTAGAATTTTTTTTGCTCAATTTGGGGCCACAGGGTGTTATGAAGATTATGCATACCCAGCCTAGTTGATAATGTTTTTCATATTTGAATTTGTTTCTTTTCCTCAACAAAACTCACCTTGATTTTGACCAGTCATTACTAAGGGTTTCTTCCTGCTTTTCTCATGCATGCTGGTGTTAGAAAACTTTTTCCATATGCCCCTTACCCCACCTTTTGAAGATTTTTCTTGCTGTATGTAGCTTTGGTTTATCCGCTGACTTTTCACCTCTCCGCCAAAGATTGAAAACGTCTGATTCATCTTGCAATACCTTCCACTGGTGTCTGTATTTCGGTGAACTGCGGGTTGGGCCTTTCAGCCAAGTGCTGATCGTAGGCCTCTCCACAGCTAGTTCTCGAACACAGTCTCTGGTGGGAGGGTGCTCATGGGTCAACTTTTCTTTGATACCCACTCCAAGTAAACAGCATTCATTGATTGCCGTCTCATTTCAATTCAATTTTCCACCTTAGATGTGTTAAAGGATCTCTATCAGGTCCTACATCTCTAGGCTGGAAAATAATTTTTTCAAGCCCTCGCTCCCAGATAGTTGGAAGAAATTTGACCAATTTTTCTAAACTGCCTGAATAAAATTTGTCCTGGCTGTGAGAGTTTTAGGCAAGTAATAGTTTTCTTACCTACCAATTTTATGATGTAGGCTTACATAACTTTAACTGTCACTGTCTCCAGGATAAGCATGACGAGTTGCAAGGTTTAAGTGTTCCAATAATTGATTCCCTGTGAAATGAGATCCTGGGAATTTACCATAAGGATCCGTGATCAGGTTGAATCTTATTAGAGCTCTTGTTTTACATTCATTTTTATGAATTGGTCCGATTTCTGACAACCCTAAAGCCCTCTCTGATTTTTCACATGTGCATTGCCTTGTTTTGTTCAACTGCTACTGCGTGCATGTATTGATTCGTACGCACAAGCAGCTCCGATAAATTACAGTTGTCGAACTGCATCCATCAGCGTAATGAATAACTCACTTCTTGTGTGAGGATTTGCTCTGATGCTAGCTATTTTGCAACTGTACTGAAATTTTTGTAACAGAGGCTTCAGGCGGCGAAGATCAGTTGTCGAGTTTAGATCAAGGCTGTATTTGGTTTTATAGAAGTCCAATTAATTAATTTGGGTCGACACTTGATTTAAATATTGATAACTTCTCGCCTGCCTCTCTGTGGTTTTACTGTGACTGAGACTGAAGAGCGAGAGATGAACTCCGCCTTGGAACCAAGGTAAAAGGTAATAGCGGTGAGTATCGGTAAAAGGTAAACTCATTTTTCCATTCAATTAGTCATAATTATTCAAGATCTGCTGAAGCTATCAAGGATATGAGCTATTGTGAAATGAGAGTAAGAAGAGTTCTTGAGGGGGTGGGTATGAATCAGCGTACGGATGGCTCAAATTCTTTTATCGTTATTTAGTACTGAGGTTACGAAATACATGTCTTGCCGAAAGAATCAACTTAAATTTATGGCAACGTGCAATCTTGCTACAACCTATAGGCAGTCCCTTTAGTTTCACGAACTTTTTCTGCCCTGGAACAAGGTGTCCTTTTTTTAGTTCGAATTATTTTGCAATTCCTGAGAGAGTCCGCCTCCAATGTGTGAACGAAGAAGAGATAAATAGATTCATTTTCCCCCTCACCGATCTGATTCAAACGGAAAGGTTATTTTAAGTTATATCCAAACAAGCTGCTTGAGAAAAGTCGAGAGAGTTGACAATCATCGGGTATTAAGGTCGCACCTATTCTTACATATGAACCAAGTATCAAAAACTTAAAGTAGGAAATGAGACAATCAGAATGCGTCGATACCCTCTGAAAGTTGAGCATCTGTGGTGTTAGTTCATCAAAAGTGTCTGAAAGCTGTTCAGTTGCTGTAACCCAAGGTGAGGTAAGTGAATTTCTCTTAACTTCTCAGCATTGGTAAAGTGATGAAATATAACTCATTAAGGAAGTGATCAAATCTAATAAATTAATTATTAATAATTTTTCAAGCTCAGAGATTCCCTTGTATTATGTAATAGTCATTCTGCCTGTGAGTGTAGTGTAATCTGTTTCAGTGCTCTCAAGACATTCTTTTTGTAACTGAGGAATATCTCCCACGTTCCCTAACGTAAAAGCTGAGTTGAATTTTTAACATCCTAAGAATCTATTGATTCGTATTGTCAGATTTTTCAATCATTCTACTTTTGAAATTCTACCGAAGTCTCTAATATCATTGACAGTTTCAAAGTTCTCGTTCGTATTCTGATGAAACCCTCTCCGCTATTGTTATGGAACATGTTATGAAAGTTGCGTGTACTAGAACGTCACCAAGTTTTCGGTGAATCCACAGCATTTGGGCAAAGCTCTCTGGTTTCGACCGATGTATCTCAAATTCAAACAAGTATGTGAAGCGTCTGGAAAATATCTTAGCCGATCTCTGAACTGAGTTTCCAATTTGCCACCGATCTTTATCTATGCGATTGAAATCCGTACTTGAGATCTAGCTCTGAAATTTCAAGGATGTCTTTCAGTACGAACATCCTCTTATGATTAGTTTGCTGAATGAAATAAAGATTTTTCCGAAACTATTTATTTAATTGATTGAATTTTGGGAGCCAACGGTCGTTCTCACATAGCATTGCGCCGGAAGCGACCCCTATTTTGATAAGACAGTGATTTTAAGTTATGATTTACCGATGAGTACTACATTCTTGATCTAGTTTCCCTATTTATGTTCCACTAAGGAGAGCCGAAAGGGTCTTTTGAAATGAGCGATTTTGCGGTTCCCCCAAGATTCGCACCCATCTATTTAGTGTCAAACCCAGGTCATTGCCAGTTGACGAGTCCTTACTTTGCTGAAACATCCAATTTTATCTCCGTCCCCGTTGTAACTTATTTGCATATGCCGTCACGCATCTTGGTATCACTTTACCTCTGCTGAGAACATGTGTTTTCTTCTTGTGCGTTTTTAGAGATTCTGTCTGGCTCAGGGACGAAGTTCGAAGTAATCATGGGTGTTTTCACGCTAACTGGAATGGTCTTGTCGCCGTAACAGCGAACACATTTTCCGGCTTGACTTTTAGTAGATATGATAACCACTCTAATTTTTTTGCATTAATCTTCAGAGGGTGACGTATTATAACGCTTCCTTGCGATTTATTGCTGTACTTCTCAAATATTGAAATGATAATTCCGAAAATGTGCCGTTCGTTACGCGGTAAAATTCAGCGTAACAGACAAGCACATTTTCGGCCATTTATATATTGGAATTGACAAGTTATGTGAAAAATCTTTGAAAAGCGTTTTAATTCGTAACCCTGTGTAGATAAATGCCAAACAATTCTAGTGATAATCATTATCGCTAAAAATATGACCGATAAATGTGTTGTCTGTTACGGCGACCAAACCATTCCAGTTATCGTGAAACCACCCTTATCAGTAACTACGCCGTTCTCCGATTCTAGGGTAAATCAAATCTCTTTTCACTTGAGCCCCATTTGGATCGCGCTAAGCTGAAAGAAACCAAACCACGTCAGCTATTGGCAAACTTAACCAGGCAATTTAATCTTTTACTTGATTACGGTCATTCAGATGTGTGTGCAAAGTTCAGTGAATTATCTGCGTATCACGTAGCAATTTTTCATTAGAATCCGCCTAAACATCCTCTTGTAAAGAATTAAATTGCTCAGTCTAATCGACAGTGCTGATGTGGCCTTGGTTCCTCTCTGCTTAACGCGGTCCACTTAACCTAGAGTCTCTGGGACCGTGTTGAACGCAAAGGAACTTAGCCCTTCAACTGTTACCTAATTCCATTGGCGAGATTGATTAGTTACACGAGAGCTGTTTTGCGGATTTTCATAGTACGTAGCCAACTACTTTAAAGTTTTCCAAGAAATTCAGAAACGTTCTCTCGTAAATATTTAATCTGCCCAGTTAAATTTGGCAATATGATGTGGTATGTCTCTTCTGTTGATCGTAGTCTCCTCAGACTTTGGGCCTCTTGAACACGAGACTTACTCCTTTTGATAAATGACTGCCAGGGTTACCCCATGTACCACTGCTTTCAGGAACCTGATCTTTTAAGTATGTCAGCACAGTTACGGAGTGAAATGACGTCAATTTTGTGTAGACTCCCTGGTATTTGTACTTTCACGATAACTGATGAAGAACTGTTGCCGTAACAGAGGACACATTTCTCAGACCTTTTTCTAGATCACTCCATTTTTTTTCCGAGGGTTACACCCTTAAATGCTTCCTAACGATTTATTGTTCTACTTCTCAATTATTGGAGATGTGCTGTCTTGTTACGCGGTTAAGTCAGCGTTACTGACAACACATCTTCTGCCATTAAACTACTGATAAGTAGAGCGGTGAATCTTAGAAAAGCTTCTGACACGTATCTCTGGAAATAAGTGCGAGTGACCTCATTACTACTGAAATGATTACTGAGAAATGTGTAGTCTGTTACAGCGGCAGAACTTAAACAGTTACCGTGTAACTAATTACCCACATTCGTACCTGTTCACGTACGTCATTTGTTGACTTTACATTGGAACAGACATGCGCCTCGACACTTGCCAATGACTGAATTTAGGGAATCCTCAGTTGACATTTCACTCCCT